GGGCCAACCGTCGGCCCTACCGCCCTGGGCTTAACCCAAAATACTAGACGAAGCTTGATGGTGGTTCGGCGCATTGAGCCAATCTCGCTTTGGCTTGACAATAAGAAAGCCGTTGATATCCACCAACTAACGTCCACTGCGACCCCATATCAGCACTTTATTCGATGCCTGTCACAATCTTAATACGAAAAAGACTCTTCTCACGGCTCCCACCGGCGTTAGCGGCAGCGATTCTTCAGGGATCGTTTCGGAGCGATCATGGCCAAGCCGGGACTCGAGGCTGCGTGAACCTGCTTTCTCCGGAAAGTCGCCCGAATGTTCCTCGGTCTCGCAGGTCATAAGTCATAAGAGATTCTTAAAAGTTAGTGTCCGAAAATAGCATTAGCATGACCCCGGTCGTGATCTTCCCCGCCATGAACTCAGATGGATCAGGAGCCCGTGGCCACAACACCACTAGATGATAAGAGAATGTGAACCCTCATACCGGAGTTGAGCCTCTCTTCCACCACGCACCTCAGTCACTCGCTCAATCTCGCCCCTACCGACAAGATGCTTGCCCAGTCCCTCATCATGACGGCCCTGGCCAACAGCGCCCTCGCGGCCATCCCCATCGTCAGCGTCCCTCTGCACTACTACTACGGCGGCGGCCACAAGATCGCCACGAACCTGGTGAACTCGGCAGCAAACACCTCGGTCGAGGTCGTTTTCGACCAGGGCTCCGAGAACTTCTGGGTCTTTGGCCCGGACGCCATCAATAACTGGGGCTGCACCGGCTTCTTCTGCCAGGGCCAGTGCAACGCCACGGCTGAGCCCTTCTACGACTACCCTCACAGCGCGACGGCCAAGAAGCCCGAGACGTTCGTGACGCAGTACGCCTACGGCGGGTACACCAAGATTGTCCAGGGCAAGGAGAGCGTCAACGATACGTTCCTCTTTGCCGGCGACGCCGGTCTTACGTCAAAGGTAGACGCCCGCGTTGCTATCGCCAACTACATGCAGCAGCGTCTGCTGGACGGCGGCCAGTGCAAGCCGGCCCCGTATGACCTCGGCATCCTCGGCGTCGCGCCCTTCTATCGCACCGCGGAGTGGAACACCACCGGCCCTCACGTCCGTCAGGATCTCCTCGAGAAGGGATCCATCAGCGCCCCCGTCCAGAGCATCTGGTTCGACGAGGCTCCCGCCGACTGGAAGGGCACCTTCACCGGCAACGCCGTCTTTGGCGCCATTGACCTGTCCAAGTTCACGGGTGACCTCGTCCGAGTACCTCTCGTCAAGAACGATGGCCTCGGTGCCACCGTCGGATACTTCGTCTCTCCTCCCACCGTCAAGGTCAAGAACGTCACCCTCGACAAGTCGGAGGTCACCACAAAGTCCTGCATGATCGACTCTGGCACCCAGATTAACGACCTGCCCATCGGTGATGCTGGCCTTGCAGCCTTTTTCGCCGCCGCCGGCCTCACTCGTGATTCCATCGGCCACGTCTCCTATAACGGCAGCTGCGACTCCGTTCCCAAGGACCTCACCATCGATCTCGAGTTTGCCGGGGTCGATGGCAAGAGTGTGACCATCAAGACTCCTGTCCGGAACTATATCCGCAACAACGCGGATGCCGAAGCTGGGCTCTGCGCACTCAACATTGATACCGGCGCTTGCATGCTTGGTGCTCCCTTCGCCACCTCTGCATTCTTCGCTGCCGATGATGCCAAGAGCGAGATTGCGTTGGCACAGGGTGGTATCTCGAAGAGAGGTAGCAAGGCGGATGATGCCTCTCTGTCTCTCACTATTCCTTGAACAGGGAATTGGTCGCGTTGGTAGTAAATCAATAATCGTTAATCGTTGAATCTCAAGAAAGTGCAAGTAGCCAAATTTGCGTGAAGAAACATCAAATCCAATCCGTCATTAACCTGATATACCGCTCATGCATCCGCTCGGTGGTGGCAATCTCGTACAACACAATCTCGAACCAGCTTAAAGTAAAGGCGCCTTGCTGTCCACCCGTGTCTTGACTCTGACGTGGAAGTCTACCGGCCTCAAGTTGAACCACCCGTCCTGTTTCAACTCATACGAAGGATCCGCCATAGTGAAGTCCACCTCCTTGATCAACTTGGCCACCACAACCATGTTCCACAACCACGCATAGTGCTTACCAATGCACTCTCGCTTTCCATTACCATAGGACCTTCTTACACTCAAAGGCAGCTGTTCGTACTTGTCGCCCATCATACGCTCGGGCTTGAATGCCAATGGGTCTTCAAAGACTGAAGGATCTCGATTCACACCCGCGAGAACGACGATCATGGGCTGGTTGTAGGCGATCTGATACTGTCCTCCTGCGAGAAATACGGGGCTCTTGTCGCCATCCTTAGGGATGGGTTCAATGTTGAACCCCGGGGCTGCGAAAGACAGTCGCAGAGACTCGCGGACGATGCCCTCGATGTACTTTAGCTGCGAGAGGTGTGCAAAGTGCAACTCGCCGTCACCGACGACGCGACTAAGCTCGTCGCGCGCGGTAGTGATGACGTTAGGGTTCTTCAGCATGAAGTAGATGGCGGTGCTGACCATGCCTGGCGCCGTGCTGCTGCCGATAGGCATGGAGACGATTTCGTCAATGACCTGAGTGTGAGTCAAGGCCTTCTCCGACTCGGAGTCCACGGTGCTGAGAAGGGCAGCCAAGAGATCCTTCCTGTCCGAGGGGTTGGACTTCCGGTATTGGACCAGATCTTCAGCGTATGCCCGCATTACTTGCTTTCCCTTCTTGAACTTGCTTCCGTAAAAGAGCCAATTGAAAAGACCAGGTCGGTTGGGCCGCTGCATTGCCTCGGATGTCGAGTCCTCCATTCCTCGGAGCATTGGGTGTTCTGGTCCAGTAAGACAGTTGAGCTTCTTGCCGAAGAGTGCCAGCGTCGTAGCCTCGAGGTTCAATCTGTTGAGCTCGCCAATGGCAGACACCTCAGCGTTGACGCCGAGGCCCTTCCACTTCTCGAGAAGCTCGTTTGTCGTGCTGAGCATGTCCGTAAAGCGCTCCGCCACGGACGCTGCCGTCAATTTGGGGGCGATGATGCGGTGGGCGATGCCCCAGTTCTCCTCGTGATCGTAAGCTGTGAACAGAGCATCGTGGACTGCGTATCGGATCTCGACGATGGGACCGCCGACGTACTTGCGGAATCGTTTCTCGTCACAAAGTTCCTCTACAAGCGCGGCACCGGCAACGAAAACGATTGTTTTGTTGAGGACTTTGATTTGGAAGATCTCGCCGTACGTCTCGGACAGCTTCTTGAGAGACGCCCAGGTATTCTTGGTGTCGATGTTGTTGATGTTGCCCAAAATGGGCACCCCTGGTGGTCGTGGAATCGGGGTCGCCATCGTGTGGGATATGGGTAAAATAATCTGGATGGAAGACTAGGATGCAATTTGGAGAAAGCGGTAGCTAACGGGGACAGCAAGCCGGTCACAAAAGAAGATGCCCGACCTCGAGCCTTAAAATGAAATGCCCAGCATCTCCCAAGTTCCCAGGTCTGAGATGTGGAATCCTCTTTGTTACCCCTTCGCGTCACTGGCCCAAAGCTATCTCTCGCCTGTCTCACCGGGTCACGGCATCTCCCAGGCGCGACGGCCCGTATTTTGCTAACGCAATTGCTGTCATTGGGTCGACTGGTGGTGGTGTCACGGTGTTTGGCTGTTTTCGTCCAGGTCGGAGAATCATGTCTCACAAGGTCAGACACTACGCTGAACGAGTGCTGATTGCGCCTCGCCGTTGCACCTCTGCGGGGAGTCTGCATTGTGTCATGCTCGTCATCATATGAGTATCGCCAAACTCTAGTTTTGACGGTGGATATAGACAGAGAATCGTCGTGTAAGTAGGCAAGTAGTCGGAACTCTTCTGCAGGTCGCGTGGGTGCGGTCCGGTTGAGTGTTATTGTGAACCCGTCCAGCAAACCCCGGGCCCGCATCGGTGTTTCTGATCTTTTGAACCTTAAACGATGAGAAATATCACCAGATGGGGAAGTAATTCCAGAGATCTGCAAAAATGATTCTCCCTAGCTGATAATCGAGTAAGACAGGGTTCAGTTGGCCAGACATTAAGCTTCTTATCATTGGTTCAATATCGTTATGCATATGCACCGCATTGTCTGTGTATCATCGTAATTTCTCTAACCTAACAAAACACGTCTTACTTCCTACGACACCGACCGTCCATGCCTTGTGTAGAACACCACATTTTGGGGATAAGTCACCTTATTGCTGATCTTGCTGATAGTATTCATGAACGTCAAAGTCGATGCTTGCTTACAGTGCAATGGACAACTATTTGCTCCACATGATACCCACATCCAGTTTACCTCGATGGTCGACTATCACGTTCATCGATGGCTCACCTACCTTTGCTAGACAGCTAGTCAGATGTTGAAGATGAGTCAATATGGTGTCAAAACCTGACTGAAGATTGCGTCATATGCATGGTACACATCTACGCTCATCCGTAATGGTCAAAAAGTAAAGATGCGACCAGTGTGGATTGAACACACGACCTTCAGATTGATTGAATGAAGTTTTCAATGGGTCTTTTGAACCCATACTTCAGTCTGACGCTCTCCCAACTGAGCTATGTTCGCCGCTCATCTTCGAGCCCACTCGCCGTTCGATGGCTTCATGTTCGTCATCGGCGGTTGTTCAACAATACCCAACGATATTCTAGATATCACGTTCATCACGGAATCAATAGGATACTGTCACCGGGATATGGGCGCAATGTATTCATCACATACGTCTTCGAGAGAGGCCTCGGCCTAGGTCCTTGATACCTTAAAACTCAAGATAATCGAGTCCGGAGCAAGGTTTCCTGAAAATAGTCAGACACAAACGGACTATGAAGTATAGTTGAAAAGTTTTAGCAATCAAGAGAAGTATTGATGGAACAACAAGATTGATCTTTGAGGACCTATTCAAACTACGCAAAGACGTGCTCCTTGTTGCTCAACATCCGAGTACAGAGTCCAACCTCAAATCTTGCTGATCAAGTCCGAACCATGAATCCAACGCACCCAGTTTTCTGGTAGCTCTTGGGCAGTCATTGTGTCCTCAGTACATAAGAAAGAGTCGACAAGTTCGGCAAACTCCTCTGGATATTGCCAGTGTGGAGCATGGCCAGCATCCGGAAACTCGTAAACACTGACAGTAGCATTGTACATTTGTCTCGCCATAGCTTGGCATGTTTGTCTTTCGAAGACATAGTCGTGGGATCCTGGTTTTTCCCTTGGCAATCAGTACTCATTTCTCTGAGGCTTCAACTTGCTTGCTGTCAGTCAAGATCCATGCACTGACCTCTAATTATCAGAATCGGAATTCTCAGTTCGTTGAATCGCCTGAAAGAGCCTTCTGATGAGCGTTGTGGATTCATAAACCTAGCAAACGCCTGCACTTGACGTCGGGTACTATCAGCATCAATCAAATCAGACCAATCATCTCTGGCCTCAAGCATTCTCCGAAACGTGGCTCTCCCCGCTGCCTGACTGGCATCTGAAGAGTGAAAACAAAATTCCAGCAGCGCAGCTTCCTGAGACTCATGATCATGTGCCATGCGGATACCCTGAAAGGGCGCGGGCGGCGGGAGTATGACTCCTGGTCCAATACTTGGAAGGGATCCAATGAGGATCAGACGGCGAACCAAAGCTGGATAATTCAATGCCATCATCTGAGCTGCGCATCCGCCCATCGAAAAGGCCAAGACATCCACTTGATTAAATCCGAGTTGTACGATAAGTTCTGCGCAGTAATCCGCCCAGCCTGCGTATGATGTAGGCACTTGTCCCTCGGATCTGCCAACACCAGCGTTGTCAAAGAGAATGACTGGTCGCTTCTCAGCTATCTTATTCACAGAAACCGGATCTATCTGGCTCATTGTAGCTCTGGTTGGTGTGAGACTATACTCTTCACCTAGATGCTGGCTGATGTGGACTAACCTGAATGATACGAGATGAATCACCGGAATCCCATGTTTCGGTCCCAACCAACGATAAGCCATCTTCGAGCCCTTGACCAAGATGGATTGATTAGGTGCATTCTCGTATTGTGACATATTGAAGCCGATATATGCTGATACTGCGACCTTCAGCAGAAACAGCACATGTAGTTTAGCTAGACTTAACTTACTTGCCAGATTCTTGCCTGGCTTTATAACCTCACTTCTTGGTTGAATTTACGCAAGCGCATGGGCCTGGTAACCCCAAACGTTGATCTCAATGGCAGACACCATATCGCTTGGGAAAAGATCACCCAACAGAAGCTGCAAGGCAATATTTGCCGGCTCCAGAAGAGGACATCTCCTGCATTCCAAGAAAACCGACGGCTTGCCGCTACTCAAACCTTATCCCTCAGTCTGTTCCCTAGCACTTCCAGAAATGAGCTGCACATGGCTCCAATGATTGGGGTCAGTGGACGTATGACTATTGTAGTCAATAGGTGACTTTGCAGATGTGCAATATCCATGGGTAGATCAATGGTAAGTCAGTCAACTTTCCTCCCAACAGTAGCCAATAACGAGATAAGTTAGCAACATTGGTACACCTAAGGAGTAATTGCAGCTAACGACGCGATACCTCCATGGAGAAGAATGGGAATGACGTTTCTGTAACAAGTTCCTCAGTGCTGCCTATCCCACCCCACGAGAGAAGTCTCCAGCACATTCACCGGCCGAAAGCCGTGAAGGTCCGCAACTATCGGCATTCATACTTTCACCGGCGCCGAAGCCAATCCGGGCTTTCAACGCGGCAATTCTTTACGAACGGTCGAGATAGAACCTCGCTCCGAACACCCAGAAGCGAGTCATTGAACAACCTAATGCAGCAAAGTCATCACTCGCAGAACCATGTGGGCATCTTCAGTGAATGATGGGATGGCGGCTCCTGCCAAGGCGCAAGCTAGGCCCTGAATGCCACGACGTGGTTGCCGAACTTGCCGTAGAGGCTTAGCTCGACCACTAACGTCCACTGACATACACGTTAAGCCTATCTTTCCAGAAAAGCCCAGTAACGCGTTTATCCGAGAACGGAAATTCATAGTTGTGCTTTCTGCTAGCTCCGTCAACAGGTGGTTTCACGCGAAAGAGGCGGGAAGAAGCCTGCCGGTTGCGGTTATGGAACATGGAAGAACACTGCCTTTTGAGACATCGGAGGGTCGGAAGGTCGGAGCTCAAGGAATCATGAACTACGAGAACCCCGACCAACCCGGAGTATTTGATTATTCTGACGAGTGCGACTTGATATACTCCGTATGGGAAATGACATCGAATATGGGCCGCCAAGAATCCAACCACACAAATCCCCACTGATCTTCAACAGGCATTTCAGAACTGTAATCAGATTATCGTCATGTGGCCGGAACATTCCGTAAGAACATTGCATCGTGAGTCGTGACAAACGATTTCGTTCCTTTGCTTATCTTCCAGATCGTACTTGGGTCCCTGCCGGTGCATTTCCCTTCCAACATCCTGCATCACACAGTAGAGAGGTAAGCAATATTAATAAGACAAGTCGAGCTCGCGTTGCCACCTCCACCGGGAGTTACATGGAGAGACTCGTAATTCATTTTCGGTCCAGATTGACTGTCCACTTGATTTCGACGCTTTTGTTGACGCTTATTCTGCCCATCGCTTGCTTTGAGTCATCTTTGGGTTTCATTCAGCAACCACCAAACTAAGAATGGCAAGATCTGTTGTTGAAGCTGTTGATCGCTTGGAACAAAGTTCATTAGCCCCCCAAGCGTCTGCTTGGAGATGGTTCTGAGAGAACCAGCGACATGCCTGAAGGCAAAATTGATACGTCTGACTTCGGTCGTACGGAGGTAGCAGTAACGATGTACAATCGCTACGTGACTCGTTGTAGTTTGGATATCATAGCCACTTTCACAAGATCTTGTGATAGACAACTCAAGACAAGGCAGAATTACTCTGGAATGGAAAGTTAGTCAGGAAGCACTCTTTCCATTAATAAGGTATGGTTGCTATGAATTGAAGGCCCTCTAACCGCAGAGGACATTGGACAAGATGGATTTTCTTCATTCAACAGTTTTTCGCGTTCAAATTCTTTCAATATGCAGCCAGATTATCCCGACATCCAGGATCTTCGAAAAGCTATACCACTGGGCTGTTTTCTTCCCTGCCCGCAGACCTCTCTCTACTACATCTCCAGAGACGTCTTGGCGTCAGCGGTACTTGTTTACTTCGCCTTCAACTACATCAGAGAAGATCAACTTGGGCCGACCCTATACTTCATAGCCTGGGCAGCATACTCATTCCTCCAAGGACTTGTCTGTACTGGTATCTGGGTACTGGCTCATGAATGTGGTCATGGGTCACTTTTTGCTTCGACAAAGCTGAACGACGGCATTGGATTTGTACTTCATTCCTTCCTGATGGTGCCGTACTTTTCCTGGAAATACACTCACCGGCGCCATCATCGGTTTACTGGGCACGCAACTAGGGATGTCGCTTTCGTGCCAGCCATGAAACAAGTCGATTCTGACAGAGACATATTCTCTCCTTCGGGGTTCATGGAAGATTCCGATGTTCCAATCGTTCAAGCAATTTCGTTGCTAGGACAGCAGCTATTCGGCTGGCCTCTACATGCTTTGTTCAATCTGTCTGCTGGTAAAGACAGTCTCATGCGAGACGTTTCCGGAACAGAGCGTTGGCTGAGAGTCAGCCTCTTTGATCCTTGGAGCTCTGTGTTTAGGGACAACGAAGCGTGGAGCGTCTTGGCCTCGGATTGTGGTCTTGGTCTCATGGGTTGCATCTTAGGATGGTGTGGCCAGGAATTTGGATCAAAAACCATGATTCTTCTATACCTTCTACCCTATCTATGGGTTAACAATTGGTTGGGTATGAGGACCCCCAAAATTCCCCAGCAGGTGGAAGCTTTTGGGGCAATTTCAGCTAACATCGAAGCAGTTGCCATCACCTATCTTCAACATAACCATCCCCAAGTCCCTCACTATACCGACGAGGGGTGGACATTTACCAAAGGGGCTCTATCAACAATTGACAGAGACTTCGGCTTTGTCGGGAGGCACTTCTTTCATCTGATCATAGACAGACATGTGGTCCATCACCTATTTCCGTAAGTTGCTCCTCGGAAACTAACTTCATGGAGAACTATTCAATCAAAGTGTACGTGCTAACCTCATCGAGTTATAGAAGAATACCATTCTACAAGACTGACGCAGCCACGACTGCTATCAAGCCACTATTAGGAGGCTTATACCGTTACGAAGGCAGGAGTTTTCTAGGTCAGCTATGGTATCAGTCTTGCACACTGAAATATATGGAAAATGACCCCGATCGTCCTGGCTATACCCGATGGACGTTGTAAGTGGAGAAATTGGCGTTGGCATTTAGTGATGTGAGATTTGCACTTGATGGAGGCAGTCACATCAATCAGCCTGGGTGTGAGAGATAGCATTGAGCATTGAACAATTGCATGTAACCTTCCTGGAACGCCTGTCACTCGTGCCGAACCTATCTGCATGATATCTAAGACATATTATCCCCAACACCTTCCAAGTTCCGACTTGGCTAAGACCCAGTCCTTATCTTACTTGGGCAGGTCTGAAGTTGAGCTCGAGTGAGATGGCTTGTGTTTGGGCTGCCACATCTCAGAATCTCCGATCTTATCGACAGTGATACCAGCTCGTCCGGCAGGGTTCAAGCCAGCCTCCAATTGCCTCTTATAGGAAACGTTCCGCAGCCTCTCGGCTTCAGCTGGAGTGAGCTTCAACTGCATACAGGTTCAATCAGTGACTGTTGCGGACCTGAACATACCGAAGTGGGCTAGAACTTACGTATATCTCGATACCAATTGCATGCAAGGCAAGTGCTAGCCAGAGTGCCATACCGAACGGCATGCCCGCCGCTGCACTGGCTTCAGCAGCCGATGTAGGGCTAATGATGTTCGCGTGGACGATTGTTTGCTGAGCAGGGTTCTCTCCAGAGAAATAGGTTGCACAAGCGGGATAGAGCTCAAGAGTTCGGTTCATGTTGTCAACCATAAACGCCACTTGATCGCAGGGACGCGCCGTATAGTATGTTCCAATGCTGCTGATTACAGCCGCGGCCGAGAACTGGATAAGGCGGAGAGTAATGATGGAGCCAGCCTAGTTACGATGTCAAGTTAGCCTTTTGTCTTTAACCGAGGATTAGACATATTTTGGGTCAAGCTTACGTAGAACCAAGCTCGTAGCATCCAAGCCCGGTGCTGCTCGATCTGAAGTCGCTTGATGTTGACGAATGCCAGCGTGAGCGCAGTGACGAACGCAATCGCCATAACACCAACACCAACTTGGGTGTCCAACGTGCCCCCAAAGGCATTTCTCGCAATCATCAAAGCGCCAGCAATTCCAACAAGTCCAAGAAGAATAACGACATAGCCGTTGATGCGATGGAAGAGAAGGAGTTTGTGACGAAGTACTGGCACGAATTGGAAACATGCCAAGAAGCTGGCGGGCAAGATTCCAGCTAGGTGAATGATGAGACCGGCTTTTTCATGGCCTTTTTGGTAGTTGAAACATTCTCCTGGCGCCGCTCCTTTGCAGAAGGTGTCGAAATTGAGGTACTGAAATCGCGCGAGGGTAAACCCCATGAGTGCACCGAAGAAGATAAAGAAAAGAACGAAGTTGTAGCCCTTGGAGAATCCTAGGGGGTTGTAAACTTTTCGCGTTGCGGCGACGAAGCCATTGGCCGGCGGGCGAGTTGGCTGGACCATGGTAACTTTAATGATGTGAACTCAGGAGTTGATATGACTGGTGTCGAGAAGATGTTGCGAAGCTGCACGATTTTTCAATTGGGTTGATTTATGAATAGGTGTCTGGTACTTTAAAATTGTTATGATGAGTATTCTCATCCTCCCTTTCTCTTTCACTGCCAGCAGAGGTTTCCATCTCTTATAACTTGTAATTTGCACATTCCGTTGTCCTCTCATCGCGATCTCATTCTGATCAAGACAACTGTTTACGCACTCTTGGAGTCGACTTGACCAGGATCGACACGCACTTCTCTGCAAGGTCTGAGAGGCGCATGGACGATTTGGGAAAGAGAATGCGCGACTGCTTAGCATACGGGGGCTGCCATGGCTCGTTTAATTCAAAGTTCGAAGTTGAATTCAACCGCCAAAACGCCATCTTGGCGTCGAAGGTTGAGCCTAGCTCTGACCGCCAGGGAGATCTCTCGATCTCGCCCAACATCTCACAGACTCATAGTCCACAGCGCGCACAATGGCTCCCAAACGGGGTTAGTTCTGTTCTGCTTTCACAGCCGTTTGAGTGGATTCACGTAAGCATGCGGGCGCTGAATACGACTGGGCTTAGCCCAATCCTTCGCCCCAAATGTTTAAGCAGCGGCGCATCCTTCCCCCGTGTCTTGGAAGAGAATGTAGTCGTCATTGAGACTGGAGGTGAATGCTGGTTTGATTATTCCGCGAGCTTCGTCATTCGCTCTAGCCTCTCACTACCTAATCTCTCAGTTGCTTAGCCATCAGAAGTCTGACGCATCCCATACCCAAGATCTTGGCATCTGTCCGCGCGCACCGTAGGGCGAAGACTACATACAAGCTTACCGGTTGCTCCCGCCGCGCACTCGGTACTTTTTCGATTGAGCTGCTGGCCCGAGAAGGACTTTAGAATTCCTCCGTAGTCATAAACGGGCCACATCCCGCGCCGTCACCTTGCCTTTTTGAGAAGCATCTCGCGCCGCGAACCCACATCACCCTCCTCGACACCCTTGGTACTTTCCTAGACATGGTCGGAGTTCCCGGACGCTCCAAAGGTTGCAACACGTGTAGGAAGCGTAAGAAAGGCGTGAGTCTGCCAAGATGGGATGATCAATTTGTCTGTTATAACGACGACGCGTACCGCTGCTGACGGAACTGCTGGCAGTGCGACCTACAACGACCTTCATGCGGGCAGTGCATAAAGGCAGGCTTGGAATGTGCAGGCTACGAAAGGAATCGCATCTTCGTCAATGTGACCAAGCCGCCGACAGGCAAAGACTCCAGGGTGACGGCTTTGGTGCCAGTCACACCCGCACTTGTTCAGACGCGCTCGTTATCCCAGTCCGCCTTTGAGGAGCGGATCCTCGAGCTCTTCTGGGATGGCTACATGCCTGATGCTCCGATATGTAGTCCCAGGAGTCCCATCATGAGGTATTCCAACGCAGACTGGGCGACGACCGTGCGAGATCTCTACCGCACCGACGCTGCCTTGCGTCTGAGCTTACTGGCACTCAGCTTAGGCACCATAGGTCGTCGGGACAAGCAGCAGTGGATGATAGACGATGGTCTCAAGTTCTATTGCAATGCCTTGACTGAGATGAACGTTGCCCTACGGCATCCCAAGAGATGGAAGTCGGATGCCTTGATGGTGACTTCGAGAATCCTGGGCTTCTATGAGGTGAGCAAGTAGTCTTAGCCCGAGAACAACATTGAAGCTCACTAACTCCCACCTAAAAGTTGCTCTATGGGGCAGACGACCGAGAGCGACATGGTATCTCTCAAGCTGAAAGTTGGGAGGGTCACGCTTTAGGCGAACTAGCCCTCATCATGCAGCGGACCCCTGAGGCACATATCGACGGTCACGGCCACGACTTGTACGCATCTGGTCGACTTCATCTGGTCAGTTGAAACCCGCGTTTCCACATGAATCAATTCATCTCCATCCAACTCATGCTGATAGCATTTTGCAGGTTATATCTCACGTCAAGCGCAGACGGCGGTTTCCGTTAAGCCACCCGGCCTGGAAGATCGTTCCATGGCAGAACATTCCAAAAACACCGAAGGACATATTGATCGATGTATTCGTTGACGTCCCTGGACTTCTGGAAGACCTGGATCATATGAACAGCTGCAAAGACCTAGAGGAAAAGGAATCAAGGCGTCTGGCTCTCATCAAGGAGTGTTGGCGAGTGGATGAAGAGCTCAACTGGTGGCTCGATAATCTGAGCCCGAAGAAAGAACTTGAAGAACTCGCGGCTCGAGGCTCCAATAGTCCGACAGCCTGCGATGTCGCTGTTGCATCGATCATTACGTTGTACTGGACTACCTGTATCCTCACCTACAGCACTCTTCGCCTTGCAATCGGCACAAAGTCAGCGGAGTTGCCCGAACGAACGGATCCCCGCCTCTATTGCACCAAGATAGCCAACATTGTCGACGTCTTCTTCCATCCATCTGCGGGGACCTTTGGAATACAATCAGCGCCCTTGCCAATTGGCATGGCTCTAGTATACCTTAACTCGTACGAAGAAGGCTTCAACTCAGAGACCAAGTTCAAGCTTGTGAGCTTTTTCGGACGGACCGCAAACAACGGCATCAGTGTTGGCAAGTTCTTGATGAGCACCCAGAGAGATGGGCTCAAGCCCAAGACCAGCGTCGAACTGTCACCCGAAGGTATCAAGGCAAAAGCAAAAAGCTGGTTGGGGGTCATACCCCGAGAGGGCCCAGTCTGCCAGCCGTTGCGATCTGCTTCAAGCCAGGCACTAGCTTGTCAGTGAATCTCCCTGTGGTTTCAAGGCCGACCTAGCGATGGGGAAGAGACACAGTTTCTACTCTGCGGGGACAGCTATCACAGGGACGAACACTTTTACGCAATTCTTGACTAGCTCAGCGAAACGAGGGCTTCGTGACTCCACCTATCAACCAACCGGCTCCATAATGCGCAAAATTCTCCACGACACCCATCGAATTGGCACAACATCGCCAACAACCTCAACAGCCCTGGTGGTCTAGCGGTATGATTCTTCCTTAGGGTTATTGAGCAATCAAACACCATCTTGGAAGAGGCCCCAGGTTCGAATCCTGGCCAGGGCCGCGATACCTTTTGCCTTGTCGAGGAAAACGTTCTTGTTTGTTTACACATTGAATGTCCCGACTTTTTCGATTTTTTGCTTTGTTTCTAGCCACTTCGTTCTTCCACTGTTGTCTGTATATATGTACCCTGACTTTCATTTCTGAGGCGTAGCCGAGGGGCCTCGGACAGCTACATGTAGTTGCTCAAAGTTAGAATGCTGGATACTATGGATGGAAGGAAGAGTTTGGAAACACGCAACAAACAGCATGATAGGCTATGTCCATCTTATCAGCGGTTAAAAAGGCTTGATGGTTATGTGTTAGTAGGCTAAGTGAGGGGAGATCATTTGATGATTCCCGAATCAGAACTTTGGCATTAGACCTGATTAACCTGGAGACTGATTCCTCGTCCGGTGGGCAACGCAGTGAATCCTACTTTAGTTCCCATATCAGGTCACGTGAAAGTGATGCCTCCTTCTCTCATGGGCTGCTACCCTTCAAGAAGTCCGACTAGGTACTCAATTGAGCCGGGTTCCGACTACACCTTACCCAACGGCCAACGGTCACGAGGAAGCCACAAGCCACCAGTCATGCCTATGCCACATTGGTCGGCTTGCATTATGTTCGAAGCCGGGCAATTATGGAAGCTTCCGTGCAATATTTCTCCTATTGGCTATGGACAGGATTGGAAAGCATGACGAACACGACTTTAAGTTGTGCTGGGGGGAGGCAAACCCCTAGGTGAGGCACAGCCGTTGGACTGGCCCGATCCGGTTCCGGATCCGACGCTGTCCTGCAGGTGAACTACGGGCTAGACTGCATTGAGCTGTCGTAAACCCACCATAGCTGTTGTTGTTGCCAAGATGATGGGCAACGCCGGGCTAAACTGAACCTCTGCAAATATGCAGGCACACAACATCGTCAGGTTTCGCTTCTTCGTAGGCTCCTAGCGATTGGTTTGTTCGGTTTCGGGCAAAGGCTGTGCAGAGCTCGGCGGTATAGTTCGTGAAAGTGAATCCTCAACACAACATTGCTTGGACTAAACTCTCGATGAGTTGGGTTTCCTTCGATTCACCGACATCGTCAGGACGTCATGACTTTCTAAACGAGAGGCTGAACAGAGAAGATATCACAACTATACGGGGGCCTTTGCGGCGCAGACTCAAGTCAAGTTGTGATATAAGACAAGATGCTACGAACTCTTGGACTAGAATGAAAGTGAATCAACAACCACAACACATCAACTGACCACCATCGCATCACGAGCTTCAACCTTGAACTATCACGCTTATTAGTATCCACTACATCTCACCTTCGCGAACAACTTCACCATGCGCCTTTCAATTCTTCCCGCTTTCCTCATGGCTGGTGTCTCAATGGCCCAGGGAGACATCGCTGCGCTCCTCGCCTCTCAGCCCGATCTTAGCACGCTGCTTGAGCTCGTCAGTCTCGTACCCGGACTTGCAGATACTCTCGCCTCATCCTCCAACATCACCATCGTGGCTCCCACGAACCAAGCGTTTGCCAACGTGCCCCGCGATGTCCCTGAAGGCGAGGCCATCGAGTACCGCAACAACACCATTGCCATCGGGGCACTCCTTGCAAACCACGTATTCAAGGGGGTTTATCCGTCGAACGTGATCACCGATGTTCCAACCTTTGCCCAGACCTTGCTCGATATTTCATACATCGACTACAGACAGCCTTTCTCTAACTTCACTGGCGGTGCTTACAACGGACTTGTCAAGAATGGAGAGGATGTTTGTATCTTGTCTGGAGAACAGACCATTTCTACTGTCACTCAGGCTGTTCGTACTCCTTTGATGCCAAAGTTCTAGTGACCAGTGTGCTAACATAAAAGACAGGATATCAAACTTGGCGAGGGTATCACGATCCACAAAATCGACACTGTTCTCTCATTCGGCGCTCCCTTCCAGCTCTTCACCTTCCGAGCGGGCTACCTCGCCATGAACGCGGCGTTGGAAGCCGCGCACCTGAACTTCGCATTCGGTGAGACTGGAGCCGACGAGCAAGGCCTGAACATCTCTGACTACACCATCTTCGTGCCTACCGACGAGGCCTTCAAGTCAATTGGCTCTGTGCTTGAGACCGCTAGCCTTGAGACGCTCCAAGAGGTTCTTCGCTACCACATCATTCCCAACAATGTCATCTTCTCGCCGTCCCTGGGCAATGTCACCGTTCCATCTCTTCAAGGAACCAACCTCACTTTCACGGTTTTGCCCGATGGTTCAGCCTGGGTCAACAATGCAAGAATCACATTCCCCAACACAATTCTGTTCAACGGTGTCGCCCACGTCATTGATAGGTCAGTGAATTACCATCACTGTAGCACGTGAACATGAAGCTAACTTCATCCTAGCGTCTTGAGTCCTGGAAACTTTGACAGATCTTCCCTGAAGCCGGCAGCACCAGCCTCTGAGCGAGTTGCCTTCTCCGGCGCATCCTCAGTTTCAAGCCTGCCCTTCACGAGCGTCTCTTTCGCGACGGACATGATGGCCTTCACAGCGACACCCAGTCTGCTCAAGACAGTCGCTGCCGTCGCTACTGCTACCGCTACGGGTGCTGCCAATGCCACCGCCACGACTTCTGGCAGGCCCACTACGGTGCCAACCAACGGCGGTAGCAACCTGTTCCCCGGCATGATTTTGGGCCTTTCTGTCGCTATCGGATTTGCCGCATTCCTCATTTAAGCCTCTCTGGATCTAAGCAAACTGGCATGGAAAGGCTGGACGAGGGCGGGAGCTCTGTGAGGGAAGCAAACGCATAGTTCCTAACTCAGCGCCCATCGATTGATTTCCAGGTAAACAGATATCGCGAGGATTTCATGCTTTCATAGATAATTGACTCTGCTACATACCTATTCACATGTTCATCGAGTGCTTTTCAAATTGAATGAGTCAATGGGCTATCATTTTCGCACCATAGATAGGCGTACGGCGGTATTCCCAGCACCTGGACCTGCACAGATACCCAAGCACGTAGCTGGTCAAAGTATCCATTCATTCAATCAGATGTGGATGTAAAGACACAATAGTAACCAAAAGATCAGGTTCACAAGATTACAGATAGTGAAATGTTTCGCTATTCCAACAGCCTTTGAATGAGTTCTAGGTCACTAGACGTATTTTGAGCAGGTATGCTACAGACACAAATTGAGTAGTAAAGCAATTTATGGTTTATTTATTATAACCCCCGTAAATCCTGGGTATGATCTCATGACAGTAAGCTGCAAGATGGATGCGTTCGGCAGACTTAGTTCAGCTAGGTGTTAGGTACACCATCGGCCACATGCAGACAGGGTCCGATCTTTGCCTGAACAGATGCGCCACATCAGCATACAGATGCTTGAAAGTTTGGCTAAAGAGAGAATCAACGTTCATTAGCATGGCAACGTTTAAACGAAAACCCATCTGCATCCATGTAGCATTCACCAAAACCTCGGCAAGCCTACAGTACATGAGCACATGCACGTTGATTAGATGGCGAAAGGCTCCGTGCATGCTCCGTACACCCCCATCCAGTCTCTCGCAGGAAGCTCACAGCAAGCCCGTAGCAAGCACCAGACTAGACGCGGGCAACGGCAACGTGCCACGGGGTTTCACGATGGGCTGATGGTTTGATTATAGTGGTTCGGTAACCACGACATGCGATTTATCCTCCACCGTGGGCCGTTATGGTCCGTGATTGCGCGTGGGAGGAGACTTGCGAAGACCAAGACCCGGCGATGGCACCGCTGTAGGAGGGCCACTTTTCCCGGCATCTTCGCGCCTAGATGTATGTGTCAGTCCCATGGACAAACATTGGCAACAGGAGACCAGCTTAGTTTCCAACTTATGAGCAGGGCACTAATTGTGATAATTTCAAGGTTTTTATTCTTTTGTATTTGAGTATTTTGGGTTGTTTTACTGAGCAGAGACACATGTCCTTGTGCACAGAGGCGGGAGAAAGAAATTGGTAGCCGTTGCTCCGAACATTCCGTCTCCGGAACCCGCCGTCTCATGTACACCAACGCCAGCTGACAAAACTATTGATACAATCAAAACATGGGTATGGAGGGTATTGGTCATTGAAAACATGTGAAAAAGTCCAGACGCCAAAATAAGCCAGCCAGTTCATTGTCGCCACCTTTCCATCAAGGGAGTAGAGTCACACGGAGTGGCCGTGTAGGTCCTTTACTGATGTAGCGCCGAAAAATTTTCGTTGGAGCCTCAAGGCTGCGAGGTTGTGAAAAAAGCTTGAGGTGTCTGGTGGATGAAAGCTCGGAATTCATCGGCTTGGGTGGTAGTGTGGGGGGCCATTTGCCAGCCTGGTTGATGTGGGTGCGTGTGGTGTAAGTTTTTCCCCTTTTCTCTTTGGGCCTCGGAGCCTCTCTCGGTGGAATGTAGGCACTGTCGCATTGGAAGACTTTTCGGTTCATCCTTTCGACGTTGTTACTACATCTCGAGTGTTGTTCATCATTTAGAGGCAGGTTCGGCACTCGTGGTGGCCGCAGGATGGGCACGAGTTGCTGATGACGATCATGCTTCCGCACTTGCAGCAGGAGGGAGCGACGGGCATGTTGGCGGCTTGTTTGTTGATGTTGGTGTAGTTGATGATGGTTTGTGAGCGTTGAGGGCTGATGTAGCTTGTTCGAGAGCTGTGTTCTTGGTTGTTAAGAGGGATGATGTGGTGATGAGTGAAGATGCGTGGAATCTCAAAGAGAGAAGGAGGAGGAAAGGCTCGCACTTATAGACATTCGCCTTGCCCACCTACAACCCTCGAACCCTCATTCATTTGCAGCGGAAGTCTACCTCAACCCAGCCAACCCTCTTCGGAGCCTTGGACCCCTGGTCTGTCCGTAATGGTCGTGGTTCGGTAAGTAGGTGTAAGTGGTGTGCACGGCTCAGCCGGGTGTACATAGTAGGTCGAGGAAGAGAGGCAAGGCAAAGTAAGGCAACATCGGACAACCCAAGACAGGGTAGGACAGACATTGAGCGAGCGTCACAGAGAAGGAAAAGGCAAAGTGCCATGCCGGGTTCATGGTTGGTTGGACCCTGAGATGGGTTGGCCGCCGCCCGCGCAGACACACGGCTGGGGCCCAGCAAATCGGCATGCCGATCGAGTCGAATGCGGGGTTTAGTTCAAATGTTGACAGGGCCTTATTACAACTCGAGAACTCAATAGAAGTGCGAGAAAGACATTCGTACACCGAAAGAGTGAGAAGGATGCAGTGGATAGGCCCCCCGTGTCTCCCCAGCCGCCGCCCTAGCTCAGTGCTGCGCTTGTGTCTCTCAACTCTCTCATCTCCTTCTCGCGGGCGAATGACGACCCGAGGAGACCGCACACACCCTAGTACTGATGAGATGGCCTGACGTAGGTGTAAGGAACGTGCGCTAGAACGCCAAGGGGGAATAGAATTTGGGCGAAGCCGCGAAGGGGGAGAATGCGACTTCGGCGGAATTCCTGTGATTCTCTTACCCTCAGCCATCGAGTAACACTTTTCGGACATCAACCACACGTTTGCCCCCATTCAGTTTATGCTTTCTACCGCCAAGAACAATCTCCCCAGCCCTTACCCTTTTACCCATCGGCAGGCTCCGGGGTTCGGCGGGTGAAACGCAGCGCTTGGAGATGCACAGATGAAAATGTCTGTCCTAGGTTGTGGGATGGCACACACATTGACGCGACCTCATTTACTAGCAAACTCTCTCGTTGGCTTTCTATTCTTCCATCCCCTCTTTCGCTATAATCAGAAATGGCAGCCATCACTGTCAGTGCTGCACAAGTGAGGCGCGGCACGACGCCCGACGGAGTTCTGAACGGTAGCAACACTTGGAATTAGTGGCATTAGAAAAGACATCACAGCTATAGAAAGCTTCAGACAGCTGCCAGCTAGCAGGCCTAGGTAGCTCCGAAGAATCCGACTTTCAGATGGAGGGTGCGAATGTGTACTCACTCCTTATTCTGTCATCTGCATGCGTGAGGCGCGGGAGATGAAAGTAGTGAGCAAAGTACTCTGCAGTTCGTCTCACAAGCTTTCTTGTAGCGCATCTCCGGGTACACAATCCCCCCCACGTCGCTTGCGCTGCACGAAGACCTGCAGGCAGCTCGACGCGGCCCAGGGTACACTACCTGTAGTCCGGTTCCGGGTCGAGGGGGGTAACGCACACATGGCAGTTGGTTGGACCGAGACATCGTGGGCTTCCCGTTCATTGGATGACGAGGAAAATTATGCGAATGCTGGGGAAATGGAAATGGACACCGAGCTAATGAAAGGCCCGCGATTACAATGTGGAGAGAAGATATGGAAGATGGAGGGGGAACTTGGGAGTTGGGGGGATGCTATCCGAAAAGGAGGGGGGGAACACCATGATGCAGCCAACAGCCGCCGGGCTACTCGGGTCGAATGCCGGCGATGGGAATCAAGAGGATGATGTGGGAGGTTCTGACTCCTCGACCGGAGGCTTGAGCTTGTCAGTCACTCTGACGATCCAACTACCTGACCAGCCAGCTTCCTTTCCGCCCGAGCTTGAGGTCCAGAGATGAACACAATTGTCGTTGATCTCGGTATGCCAACGAAGATGATCAACTCTTGCCCAACCGTCCTTCCCGCCCCTTGAGGGCCTTGACGGCATGCCATGTCAAATGTCTCTCTGCTACCCCGCAAGATGAGCGAGATCGACTCAAGTGGGATCTGTCGAAGCGAAACGGTCAGACTTGACGCTTCGGGGGAGGGGGTGAAAGTGGAAAACCTGGGGCAAGAATGGCAGCCTCTGGGAGGCCAAGCAGTCGCATCACTTCCCGCGCCACCGAACCACGGATGGCAAGGTTCCTCGATGATCTGGGGTAGCTCTGCTTCAGCCTTTAGAAGCGGGCGCTGAGTTTTGGCGAAGGTTCCAACAAGCAAACGCCACACTGTATGACACGGGAAAAGGGGGTGTGTAGCAATACAACAACGGAGCCTAACTCACAGTCAATCTGGGGAAGAATAAGACGGGCGAAAAATACCAAAAACGGTCTTCGACAGAGCGGCAAATGAGTCCACAAAAACAAGGCTCCTCTCCATATGAAAATGACCCAAAATAAGGACAAAGAGAATGGGTCTTTTCAATGCGGCCTGCGTCGGCTCACCCCGAAAAGAGAAACGTGGAGATGAATCGACTGACAGACAGCCCACGACTCAAGCTCGACAAAACGCTGGTGAGGAGCCCATCCGGCGATGTCCGTCATACGGGGCCTTTTCTCAGATCTGCTCCTCCGTTGTCAAACGTCCTAAACCCCGTTCAAGCATGTAATTGAGGCATTCTCGCGGTGCTCGAGACCCAATCCCCTCAAAAAACCGGCGGGTGCCAAGCGAATCAAAGACACTCGGCCGTCATTGCGTTGTATTGCGCCGATAATTTCCTTCTTTCAACGGCGGTCTGTTTCCGTGCTTCACTTCCTCCCTCCCCGCTATCGGATGATTTGAATGTCCTGCACGCATGCCCAAGTTGGATATTCTTTTCATTTTCTCTCGTGTGTTTGAGTTCACTCTGGGTCAAGGGACTTCTTGGCGCCAGGCGTGTGTCGTAGCACAGCCCAATGACGTTGCCAAAGCGCGTCCAGACATGGCTGGGTGGGCAAGTGTCTCAACCGGATACTACGTCTTCTTCTCATCTTCTATGCATGCCATCCTCACAGCGGATATCTTCCGTGACTACCTGCCATGCTTCTACGTCAGAAGAATCAAATAAAGATTACACACGCTCGAGGTTAACAACCAGCGGCGGTCCTGCGTATGTGCCTTGAAAACCTATGCCATTGAGCCAGCACTAACTTTAGGCCCCTCAAGTTGTTAGCGACCCATCGCCGAAAGTGACCAAGCGTCGCGCTGAACTCGGTCTACCGGCCCAGCTCTCACCTTGCTTCCTTTCTACCTAGGCATATTCCCCCCTTTTCTCCAGAATCTTGTGCCCTCTTCCCCAAGTTTAGCTATGACGCAAATGTTTCTGCTAAAAGTTGAATGCACGTTGAACTCTAAAAACGGCGCGACAGGGACCCTTGTGGGGACAGAGTTGCCCTCGCAGACTGCCAGAACAGCGGCCATCCCCGTCTTGGAACAATGCAACGCACCAGAGACGCGCTGCTGGACCCAGCTGCTGTGCGGCGCAGTCACTATTAGTGGGAGGGAATTGGAGCGAATCACTGTCTTCTAACGCAAGGCATCACCCATCGTTACGTCGTCCATCCCAGCAAAAGGGGAACGGGAGACTGGGGGACCCTCATGTGGCAACGGGACGCTGTGTCGCAGGGTTCGAAAGTACCAGATCTTCTGAGAAGGTCAGGATTCAATGCCGGACGAGATCTCACCACCTTTTTCAATTTTTAGACTTCCTGCAGAGAGTTAAGTTGGCCTCTCCAATGTCTGTGAGCCGGATCGACTTGAGACGATGAGGGTAAGCTGAAGCCTGAAAAAGGCCCTGCGTTGGCCGTGTGCGTCTGACAAGAGCGGCGTTTGAGTCACTCGCCTGTCAGCACCTCAGCCTACGTCTCCGGTCAACTGGAATAGGCTAGGCAGAATAGTTCGGATCTAAGATGGATGGAATTGGAGATATGGCACAGGAAGAGGCAGAACTCAGGATAGAGAGAGAACTTTGGTGCATGCGGAGTGTTAAATGTCCGTTGGGAGAGTGATTGAGGGCACTCTTTATGTGTCTCTCGTATGTTGGTCCACCTAGAATGCCCCTGGTGGGGAGTCATGGCCGAGGCCTTTGAGGGGTTCACCGACCTAGGTGAGGCGAAGCATGCCCACACCACCCCAACTAGTAAATTACTACGACAAACAGCGTACCTCAAAGACTAGAGATAGACGGAATGCCTTGCGGAAGGCCTTACGCCCCCGTCCGAGGGCCGGGCACCGAATGGCCGGTTCGGCCAGCTTTCGGACCTCTGACTCCCCACCTAAACGCGGAACAGCCTCTTTGTTTGAGCTACCTTTTACGTGAACACTGCCCTTCAACACCCATAATTTTGAGTAGGGCGATACATTTCCCGTTTTTACAGAAGGGTTAATCCCACTTAGTCTCTAGGCAGAAGCAGCTAATTTCCATCTGAAATCTCCTGAAGAGATGTTGAGGAGAGATGGCAAAAGCTGTCATTGGATACCGTGTGTTCGAGCAAAAGACTATCGACCAGGCCCCTTAGTGAGGCCAAATTCATTGTCCGGCGTCAGCGTGAGTCTTACCGCATGTACGGATACTCCTCAAAGGATCCGGTCCAGTCATTCGGCAATGAGGCCAATTCTGTATTAAAGTAAACAACCTCGGGGCACATCTCACCTGGTAGAATTCGCAACTCCAAAGACCTGCATCCAACCTCGCATCTCAGCTCAATCTCGTGATTGTCACATTTGAAGTTGAATTCCAACTGTCAGCAAGACTTATACGATATCACAATGGTTGTCTCTTACGCTCGAGCTTCCAAGAACCAAGTAGCTCATTGTATCTCTTAGGTCACCAAGTACTCTCTCCAAAGTCTCTCACAGAGCACCGACAATATCGTCGTTAAAGATGAAGACATGAAGTCAGAATCTTCCTTCGAAGAGCTCAAGTCCGAAGACACCAAGGCAGAATCGTCCAGGTGTGATA